CAAGATGTGCCCCAGAGCTCCTTCTGACTCAGAAATAAGGCTGTCCCTACTCCATCCTCTACACAACCACTGAAAATAAGGAACTGCATGCATCCCTGCAGACCCTCCCACACCTTCTCAGGTCCCCACACTCACAGCTTCACCTCTCCCACTTTAGCTCACAGCACTCTTCACTCCTGGTACATTGGCCCCACAGGGAATCCTTCATTCCCTAAACACAGTGCTCTTCTCCAAGCCTGTCTCTGCCATCCCTTATTTCCAAAACCTTTCCTCTGTGCCCTCTGAAATTCACAACCAGGTATCATCAAGATGCCCATATCCATCTAAAACTAATGATGTAATGTATGGTGATTAACATAACAATAAAAAATTACTGGGGGGAAAAAAAAAGAAGCCCGTATCTTCCTTCTCTTCCCTGAAATGTGTTTGTCACCCAAGGACATCGCTTTCCAGCAGGATTCTCAGGTAATAGCCGTGCTGCATCCCATGTTCCCCACTCTACTGGGCCAGGAGATGAAGGTGGTTTCCTCCTTGATTCCAGATGCCATTTCTGGATGACTTTTCTTCTCTAAAATCCTCTAACTCTGAATCATATGCAATCACACCATACTACCCACTACCCCTCTTAACTGCAGTTCCCTAAAGACCCCTAGGCCATCCCCCTCATTCCTGGAAGATCTGGACTCCTGTCTGACTCACTCATGCTTTCCAACACTATTCATCCCCATTTTTGGTGATTTCAAGAGCTACGATGTCCTGGCTTTTCAGTGCTCAAGTACCTTTCTTCCAATGGTCACGTCTTCCACACAGGTCACCTCAGTCACTCCTGGGGTCATGCCCTTGACCTTGTCCCTACAGTTACAAGTGCTGCCATAATGTCTCAAACTTCCCACCTTCCATCACTGTCTCTATCCTTCTAGTTCATCCCTACTAATACCCAACTTCAATTCTCCAACCTCACCAAGTCCTACAACCCACTGATCCCACCTACTCATTGTCCCTCACTCACACATGCCCCCACTTCCATACTTAATCCAAGGATCATCATTACCACCGCCCCTCTGACATGTAACTTTAACTCCCTTGCATCTTTCTTGCTATGTCACATTTGCAAAACAACAACCCTGTGAAACCCAACCGTGCCTACACCCACCCAGTCGAACAGAACAGCAGAGACACAACCGTGCTCACTAGATTCCCTCAAACTGCAAGACCACTAACCTCCGTGGCTCTTAACACTGACCAGCAATCTTACTAAGTTTCCCTAGTCTGCCTGCCTTGTCAGCTTTTCATACCCCGCCTTTCCCCGCAAACTTCCAGTATTTTCTCCTCCATCCCCACTCCTGGACAGCACTCTCTCTTCTTCACTGAGGAAATGGAAACAAGTGCCCACTATCACATCTACACATCTAGTCGCACCGATGCCCCATCCTCTCCCTTCTGGCCTGCTGCCCTGGCTCTCCTCTCTAGGGCATGAAGAGTTCCAAGGCGCAGTGGCAAAGGAGAGGGACCAGAGGACACCACAGAGGGCCTTGAGAAAGGAGCCATCAAGGCCTGATGAGAAGCTATTGGTAGTCAACAGAGTGAGGCAGCTTTGCAGGCTGCTAAGTATTCCTTACCACCTGGTGGCCACACCGGTCTGCACACAACACAACTCTCACCCGGCCAGGTAACTCTCAGGAAACCTGCCCAAAGGCCAAAGGAGGACAGGTGGAGAGCTGAAGGTTTCCTCACACAATGGCTGCCAGGTAACCAGGCCTCTCAGGAGAAAGGTAGAAGCTGCGGGTATACCTGACGAAGCCTAGTGCGATACGCACTAGAAACGCTAAGTGACAACACTCATGTACACCCCGTCAGGACCCCAGGGACGCATCACTCCCTTCCTAAATGTAAAGGTATTTTTAACAGGACGTGGCGATCCGGTCCACGGTAGGAAACCTGGACGAGGGATTCTGCATTTTTTAACGTATCCTCTGCAGCAGCTACATGCATGCACATTCGCAGCTCCTGTGACGAAACCGTAAGCAAATTCAGGGCTGGGTCTGTGCATCTACTATTTCTAGTTGATGACTGACACATTATGCGCTCTTAAAAAGCCCGTTTAACAAATGACTAAAAGAGACCCGGGGAAAGCAGGGCTGTGCGACTATGCTGTGTGAAAACTGTTGTTTTCGCCATGAAATACGGGAAATGGGCACATAAATGATCCTCCCCCGATATGCTCCCTTCTACTTCCACCTAAGGTTTACAGCTGCTTGGAAAGGAAGGGGGCGGGGTCCACATGCGGCCCAGCGAGTCCACAAAAGGGGAAACTGAGGCTGGGCCAGGCTGCAACGCGCTCGCTGTCGGGTCGCGCTCACTCACCTCGCCTGCCGTGTTGGCCAAAGCGATGAGATCCCGCTTGGGTGACCAGACCAGGAAAATGACCTCCTGCGGCAGCTGCTTCTCTCCCACCACCCGGAAGGACGGAAAACAGGTCGGAAAACGCAACATGGGGGCGGCCCTGCAATGACACCCCGGTCAGAGGCCGGCAGGGGCCTCCCGCGGCCGCCCCGCCCCCGGCCCTCCCCCGGCCCTCCCCCGAGCGCTCCGACCCCGGCGGTACCTGGGAGACCCCGCTCCGCGGCCTACGCGGTCCCGGCCGCCTCTCCCTCCCTCCACGGGTCGCGCGCCCGCGCCGCCCCGCCGGCCCGCCGCCGCGCGCTGCAGGCACTTCCGGCGCCCGGACTTCCTCGCGAGAGGACCAGGGGGCGCGCCGGGCGGGGGCGCGCCGGGCGGGGGCGCGCCGGGCGTTCCCGAGGCCGCACTCCCGCCCGCAGGTAAGGACGCGCGCCCGCCGGCCTCGTACGTTTTCCGGGAAGTTCGCTGCTAGGGGGTCACTGGGCGGGCATAGGTTTGGGGGCGAGGCCTCAGAGACTTCGAGGAAAAGGGACGCAAACACTAGGTTCTGATCGGCTGGAGCCTCCCTTGACAGCCTCTAAACGGGTAGTTAACAGTCCCAGTTGCTCAGTAGAAGCACCTGGAGAGATTTATTTTTTAAACCCCTCCCCTGCCCAGGCAGCACCCCAGATCAATTAAAAGAGAATTGATAAGGAATGCGAGCATTTATTAACTCTCTAGGCGAGTCCAGTTTGCAGCCAAGGTGGGAGGGCCCTGCCCCAAAAACTCTGAGTAGGCAAATACCTTGATTATCCCATTAAGCCTCAACAACTCATTGGTGGTAGTAGACCCACCGTAATAAATGAGGGCTGTGGGCTCATCCAGGATTTATCCTACAGCTGTCTGAGGATCTACCAGGAGAAAGAATCTGAAAGAATCTGGGCTACACAAATGCGCAGAGCATGAGCTCTGCCCTAAAAGGCTTATAGTTCAGCTTGGTCAACAATAAGATGCTGCTTTATGCAGGACAAATTTAAATGTTAGCATGTTCAAAAGTTGACATAAGTTATGACCCCGGTTTAAGAGAATGTGACCAAGTGCTGCCAGTGGCTCAGTTGGTTAAGTGACTGCCTTCGGCTCAGGTCATGATCCCGGAGTCCCGGGATCGAGTCCCGCATCGGCCCCCCTGCTAAGCAGGGAGTCTGCTTCTCCCTCTTACCCTCCCCTCTCTCATGTGCTTTCTCTCTCTCTCTCAAATAAATAAATAAAATCTTTAAAAAAAAAAAAAAAGAATGTAATATCATCCTGTGATTCTTGAACTTAAAATCTATGGTAGAAAACCATCTACCTTTCACTTATTCAAAGGAGAAAGTGGTAGAATCTTCAAGTTTAACAAGCCCCATCTTCTTGCCCTCTATCTGGATCTAGCCCCTGGGAAGTAGGTGTCAGAGGTAGATTCATTCATTCAGCAGCAAATACTCGAGGCACTATTTTGTGGCACTGTTCTTACCTGATGCCTACCCTGCTTCCCTCTCAAGAGATAGGCTTTTCCCCTTGCCTTTGCTGCAATTTAGCATGACCCCCAAATTCTTCCAGAGGCAACATTTTTCTTTTATTATTTTTTTGTATTATTGTTTCAGGGGTACAGGTCTGTGATTCATCAGTCTTACACAATTCACAGCACTCACCATAGCACATACCCTCCCCAATGTCCATCACCCAGCCACCCCATCCCTCCCACCCCCCTCCCCTTCAGCAACCCTCAGTTTGTTTCCTGAGATTAAGAGTCTCTATGGTTTGTCTCCTTCTCTGGTTTCATCCCATTTCATTTTTCCCTCTCTAACCCCCATGAGCCTCTGCCTTGGTTCTCAAATTCCACATATCAGCGAGGTCATATGATAATTGTCTTTCTCTGACTTATTTCCCTTAGCATAATACCCTCTAGTTCCATCCACGTCATTGCAAATGGCAAGATTTCAATTTTTGATTGCTGCGTAATATTCCATTGTATATATATACCACATCTTCTTTATCCATTCATCTGTCGATGGACATCTAGGCTCTTTCCATAGTTTGGCTACTGTGGACATTGCTGCTATCAACATTGGGGTGCACATGCCCCTTCGGATCCCTACCTTTGTCATCTTTGAGGTAAATACCCAATAGTGCAACTGCTGGGTCATAGGGTAGCTCTATTTTCAACTTTTTGAGGAACCTCCATACTGTTTTCCAGAGTGGCTGCACCAGCTTGCATTCCCACAGACAGTGTAAGACGGTTCCCCTTTCTCTGCATCCTCGCCAACATCTGTCGTTTCCTGACTTGTTAATTTTAGCCATTCTGACTGGTGTGAGGTGGTATCTCATTGAGGTTTTGTATTTCCCTGATGCCAAGTGATGTTGAGAACTTTTTCATGTGTCTGTTGGCCATTTGGATGTTTTCTTTGCAGAAATGTCTGTTCATGTCTTCTGCCCATCTCTTGTTTTTTGAGTGTTGAGTTTGACAAATTCTTTATAAGTCTTGGATACTAGCCCTTTATCTGATACGTCATTTGCAAATATCTTCTCCCATTCTGTCAGTTGTCTTCTGGTTTTGTTGACTGTTTCAGAGGCAACATTTCTAAGGTGAGAATGGACTTGCCTTTATTATTGATAAAATGCATTTTTAGGCATTATTTAATGTTCTGGGGTGGCAGTAATGGATAATCTGGATGCTGGGGTGGAGGGGAGATAGGGAGTAGGCAATATCCATCCACCTAACATTCTTACGGAAATCGAATGCCCATTTTCTTGAAACTTATCCTGATTATGAACCCTCATATAACACGAGAAGGACTAATAGGGGTATACACTCAGTGCTACCAGACAGAGAGTAGTGCATTCACAGAGAATTTCCCAGAAGGTATTATAGCCCAGGAACCAGCGTAGCAGTGGAGTTCCAGATGTGGCCAGGAAACAGATGATTTTATGTGGCCGTAGCACCTCATGTATACTGGTGGGACTGGGGGACACTGTAAATTATCCAAAGTAGCCATAGGACAAAGTAGCCACTAACACAGTGTTTCCAGCCTTTTCTTTTCCCACTGACCCATAAAAGATATTTTGGGCTTTACTCCTCTTCTTTGCCTTCCCCGTTCTCTAAGGAAAACATTGCTTTGGCAAATTGGTTTATACTTAGGCTTCTGTGGTACAGAATCAAGAGGAAAAGGGAAGAATACCCAGGTGCTTTTTAAGGAGGTAAGGGCAGGAGATAGAAATGGTATAGGATTGGCTTTTGAAGGGCCAGGCAGCTGTCAACAGATTTACAGGGGGGGGGGGGGGGGGGCGGGGTCCATATTGTTGGTTGCATCACACTGGTTCATTGGTTATTCAGGACCTGAACTCATGTGACAGGGGTGATGACTGCAGGTGTAAAGATGGGCAGGAAGACTAGTTAGGTGGGGATGGGGGAGGCACAATTCCAGACGTTTCTGAAGTAGAACACTAAGAACTGATTATTGATTAGACTGAGGGAATGAAAGCAAGGGAATAGTCAAGACTAAGTTTGGGATATTTGGGTATGCAGACTCAGGGAACAGAGAAATGGTTGTTGCTGGATCAGAGCAGAGGTAATGAGGAAGTATGAAGGGGAAGGGAGGGAAAGCAGACCAGAGAAAAGGAGTTGAGTGAGGACTATGTTCAGGTGGAGGTGTGGTGTGCAAATCTGTAATGACCAACAGGCACCTGGAATGGCAGGTTTGAAAGGGAAAAGTCAGGGCCTGAGCAAAGATGTGGGAGTCACTGTATACAAGAATGGGAGATGGAACTATGTGGGATATGACTAATCTAGGCCATGTGAGAGGCTGTTATTGTGAGAGGTCTATTTTGAAGTCATAAAATAGGTGAAACATACAAAATAAGAAATTGACCGAATTTGCTGGAAAGAGATAAATGTAGAAAATTGGTGTCAGAATCTCTTGCCCTACCATGATTGCATTTATTAGGTAACAAAAAATCCCAACTTAAAGTGGCAGAAGTAATAACTAGAATGTATTGGCCCGTGTAAATTACAAGTCCATAAGTAGGGCCAACTTCAGGTCAGGCTAGATCCAGCAACCTGGAGTCATCAGGGACCAAGCTCAGGGCGTACATCATCATAAGTCTGGGTCCCCATGTGGTCAGTGGAAAGCTATCAACAACAACTGGATCTACATGCGTCTGCATTCAGAGAGAGAACAAACACCTCTTCACCAATCACAAGGCTGAAGTCCTGAGTTTTGCTGTAATTAGACCAACCCCTATCATGAGCCTACCTGAAATCAGTCACAGGTAAGGGGTATGGAACTATGCCCAATAAAAAGTCCTCCCCAAGAGCTGAAGAGGATATCAGTCATCTCTCTCCCAAACCCCACGGCAGGCACACGATGGAGAGGATGGGAAAGATCCTGCTGATGCAACCAATCAACAGTGTTCAATAGGACAATCAATCACAATTACCTAAGTTTTAAGTACAAAAGGCATTTGGAAGACGGTCCATCCTGGCAGAGAGTCTAAATCCGGGGTGTTCTGTTTGTCTCTGCAAAAGAAATTCAGAGACCAGCTGATGAAATTCCAATCTGAAGAAAGAGGTTCTAGTAAGAGCTGCAGACCCAGTATTCATATGTCTAGAAATTTATTCTAAGGAAACAAAAGATTTAGTCATAAGAATGTTTAGCATAGGGTTGTTTACAAGAGTGAAAAAATACAAACAACTTAGATGTCCAACCATAAGAGATTGATTTAAGTCTGATTTCTCTGGTTTCTCCTACTCCTGGCCCCTACATTCACAGGTGAAGAAACTGGCCCATCTCCTCAGGCTCAGTTTCTTAGAGATCAGCAGCTAATAAACTTCTCATCTGCAGTAGTACGAAGCAACTAACTAGTGTGAGAATCTTGTGACTGTCCAGCTAATGGGATAAAACTCATCCCTCAGAGCTATGAGATCTGCTTGCTGTTGGGTGCTTCTTTCCCTCAGTCTTGCTGAGTTAACATTTATACTAAATCGCCTGAAATCCAACTGTCAAGATCTTATCTGCACTTGATTGCAATGACCTTCTTGGCTGACCCTTGACTAATTTGACCCCTATCCTAATGTTCCAATTAAAATCACATCAAATTAAGTGAAATTGGATTTTCCTTTGCAGTCTGTGCAAGCTTTCCTTACCTAGGCAGCTCTAAGCATATTAGCTTCGTCCTCATGTGGCACAGTTAAGGTTTTGAGACCTCAAGCAGTATATGACATGGCATTTCTATTCACTCAGTCCCGATTTACGAGCAGCTACCACTTGGTGGGTGGGGAAATGTGTCAACCTGGCCACCCGCTTCCCGGGGTCATGGCGGGGGGGGGGGGGGGGGGATTGGTGAAGTCACGTGGGCAGCAGTTGGTTGTCTTGGACATTACTGTGTGCAATGCACAGCTCTAGGAGCTAGAGAACACACACCACGGTGCCTGCAGGCCCCTGCTACCAATGAGCTTCTAATCTGTACAGGGGAAACAAGCACAAAAAGGTCGATCTAATACAGAGCATACTTTAAGTACCTTAAAAGAAGGAGAAATGAAAAGACACACAAACACATTTTTATTTCACTGGCAAGAAATGTACTATTCCAGTGGAGACACCAACAAGGACATTGTGAAGGAGACAGCATCATACCAGGACCTTTTGTGGGCTGGGATTTTACTTTAAAAATTAGTCAAACTTCTCCTAGATGCCTAGTATTTTTTAGATGACTTTGAAGGGACCAGACATCAACCTAAGTGTTTTTCTTAAAATAACCCTGGAAGCTGAATTATTCTAAGCTTAAAGGCTGTCAATCTTGCTCACACAGCACATCCCAACCTTAAACACACATCTAAACCCTCAGTATCAAGACAGTCTTCCTACTGACTCTAAATATCTGCCAATATTGTTTAGGTCTGTTTTCCTTTTTTTCAGTCCTTATAGGAAAAAAGACCAAGGGGAGCCTGGGTGGCTCAGTCGGTTGATCTTGATCCGGCTCTTGATCTCAGCTCAGTTCTTGATCTAGGGGTCATGAGTTCAAGCCCCACATACTTAACAAAAATAAATGAATAAAAATGAAAAATAAATACAAGAAAGAGAAAAGACCAAGTCCTCTCCATATCTTAGGCATGCCTACTGTTAAGAACTGACTTGTATCCTCTAAATCCAGATGCTGAGGCCCTAGCCCCCAGTACTTCAGAAAGGGACTGAATTTGGAGATGGGCCTTTAAAATGGAAATTAAGGTAAAATAAGGCCATTGAGTGGGCCCTAATCCAATCTGACTAGTATCCTTATAAGAAGAGGAAATTTGGACACACAGAAGAAACATCATGGGAGGAGTGAGAAGGTAAGCTAAAGAGAGAGGCAGCAGAAGATCCAAACTTGCCAATACCTTAATCTTGGACTTCCAGCCTCCAGGACTGGGAGAAAATAAATTATTGTTATTTAAGCCACCAGTCTCTGATACTTTGTTATGGCAGCCCTAGCAAACTAATGCACCCACCATCTGGAAACTTCTAGAAAATTCCACGCTTTCATCAAATTTTTATTGAGCACCTATAATGCATGAGAGATATAAGATGGTATAAAATGGGTACTGACATTAAGAAACTGAAATCTTTGGGGGAAGTAGAATCTGTAAATCTAATTACAGAATAATACACAAAAAGTGCCTCAAATGTGGTTGCAGAACACCCAGGCTTCAGAGAGGAAGGTACCGGCTGGTAGCGGGGACTCAGGCAAGACTTCCCAAAGAGAGTGGGACTTGGGCCAGGGCCTGAAGGCTCCATAAGACTTTAATAGATGGCATATGGAGGAAACACTCCAAACAGAAAGAAGAGGGTGAGATGAAAACAGTGGGGCATACTGAAGAAATAAATCAGTCTAAATATCGAACTAAATGTAAGAAAAACCTAAAATCTGATCATTCAGGGCCTACAAAGTAACTATGGATTTCCTCAAATTTTGTAACCTAAGCAAGAAGGGTAATGAAATTTAGCTGTAATAATTTAAGAAAAACATCCTTTTAAAAAGCTTAGAAAGTTTTATGTGTCGAATTTAGGGATTTTCCTCTATTACTGTTTTGACTAGGTATCTTAATGTTCAGATATGCAGATTTCTAATTAGAACAAATGACCTCATCTCCCATCCCACTTTACCTCCCAGAGACATTTTTACATCCTATTAGTTTACTCCCTGAGAAAAGAAAATCCTTAAAATTAGTATTAATTGAACAAAGAACAGAATCACCAAACTTCTTTTTTTTTTTTAAGATGTATTTATTGTCAGCAGGGGTGGGGGGTGGGTAGAAGAGGGAGAGAATCTCAAGCTGACTGCCCGCTGAATGCAGAGCCCAACACAGGGCTCAATCTTACAACCCTGACATCATGACCTGAGCCGAAATCAAGAGCTGGACGCTTAACCAACTGAGCCGCCCAGGGGGCCCCAGAATCACCAGATTTCTTATTTTTAACTTCCTAAGCAGTTAAAGTTTTAAAGTAAATAATTCCTGATTATAAGTAATACCCTATTTCAATTCTAAGGTGTACTCTTTTTTTCACATTTCAGTATTTCTGAAACAGGATACCCCTAAAATTTAATATACACAATTAATGAGCTATGGCGTTTCTCCCCCTGAAAGGCTACAATCACATCAACAGTGCATTTTACAACTGATGGTACCTCAGAACTCAGGAAATGGGGCGATGATAACCCCGGGCCAGCAGGACCCAGTTCTTCAGGAATCATGGTCCCTCAAGTGTCTGAGTTTCAGGGGAGATTTCAAGAGATTTTACCATGGTTTTGGGGGACACCATGAAAGTCAGGTAAAGTCTAGGCCTGTGGTTGAATCGGGGGTGGGAGGGAACACTCACAATGATTCTGCAAAAGGTTCATGTCTCACCCAGTCACCTCTGAATCCACCCCTCTGATCACCACAGCAACCCACGTGGAAAAGGGGGCAAGGGAAGGGTTTTCTGATGCTTGTTAAATCCAGGGGGCTTAGCTCATCTTTTGATGTCGCCAGATATACGCCCCTATCCACTGATCAGGGCCACGCTTGTGCCTTCCACATCAAGCATCCAACAGTCCTAACTTTAAGACCAGATGGAATTTCCAGGCCAGATGGGGTACAGCTCTTGTACCTTCACTCCCAGGGCTCTAGCTAAGCCCAAGCAAGCATGCCTCCAAACCTGCTCTAAAGCAGCTGTTTGGGAATAAGAGAAAAGTCATTATGCAAATGTAAGCAATTCAAAAGTATGCAATCTGAAGGCGATCATGTCAGGTACCTAGCAGAGAAATGGGGAGACGAACTGTTTGTTCTCAGAGTTCAAGCCCAGTCCCTTCCCGGCTATGATCCTGGACCACCAGATGATTACCATGAGGGCTCCAGCTATCTGCTGGTTAACATTTGTTAACATTTTCACCAACACAACTGAGAGCCAGGCACATGTGCCTCATTTAACGTCACCACCACGAAAACAAGCCTGTGGTATAACTACTGTTATATAATAAAATAATTACATAATAATAACAAAGAAACAGGTTGCCAGTGAATGACCTGGTCAAGGACATAGAGTCAGGAAGGGTTCGTCCCAATAGGGATGAGAGGTTTTAATCCCCAAACTCTTCTGCCTTCTGCTATTACTTTTACAAAGAAATAACCTTAACTGCTTCGGTTAAAAGACACTGAGATGACAGAGCAAGTCATAATTCTAAATGTCTCATTCATCCTACAACATTTAAATGACTCTATTCCATCAAAGGACACTGTAAAGAAGTACTTGAGAAACAAATATTTAGTAATAAAATCATAATTATAATCTTCATATCTTTAGCTTTGTCAAAACTCTTCCCATCAGGGGCACCTGGGTGGCTCAGTCGTTAAGCATCTGCCTTCAGCTCAGGTCATGATCCCAGGGTCCTGGGATCGAGCCCCGCATCGGGCTCCCTGCTCCGCGGGAAGCCTGCTTCTCCCTCTCCCACTCCCCTTGCTTGTGTTCCCTCTCTCGCTGTGTCTCTCTCTGTCAAATAAATAAATTTAAAAAAAATCTTTAAAAAAAAAAAAAAACTCTTCCCATCATCTTCGTCTAAAAATAATTGTTCAGGGGCGCCTGGGTGGCTCAGTTGGTTAAACGACTGCCTTTTGCTCAGGTCATGATCCTGGATTCCCGGGATCAAGTCCTGCATTGGGCTCCCTGCTTGGCACGGAGTCTGCTTCTCCCTTTGACCCTGCCTCCTCTTGTACTCTCTCTCTCTCTCACAAATAAATAAATTAAATATTTAAAAAAAAATAAAAATAATTGTTCATTGTACTTTTCTTTGCAAGTGGTGTTTAAGTCATCACACAATGTTTTGATATTTAACTTAAAACATTTCTGGACCTAATTTAACATACGTGTGTTCAATGTAAACAAGACCTCAAGTTTTCACTTTCATTTTTCTTCTGACATTTTCTGCAAAAGAACATGCATGCCCATTTTTCAAAAGAGGCCAAAATCATGTGATTGGGTGAGATTTTAAGGGAGAAAAAAAGGCACACAGAGAGATCTGGTCAACCAGTTCAGGATGGAACACCTCCCCAGGTCCCCAGAGAGGCTGGAGAGGGGTCCATAAACCAGCAAATACCACCTACCTATTATCTGCCTTAGAAAGGTGCATACCTTTGAAAGCGACAGAATTTAAGTCCAGTGTGGCACTTGCAGAAAATGGCATCAAAGGTTGGACTATAAATCTTTCTTATTCTCAAGTCACTGGACATTTAAGAGCAAAGATATTGATGGGCTCTTTCTCTCTTGTTCTTCTTCCTTGTAACAGATGTATGATTCATGGATTGTCCTTTAGTGGTCCCCATTTTCATCTTATTACTTTTTCTTTGCTTCTGCTTTCTGACAGCTCTGAAAAACAAGGTGCTAAATTATTTTGTAGAATAAGCATAGTGAATTATGTAATTATGTTGGAATTTAATGAACCAGCTGACCAAATAAGAAAACAGAAGGAAAAGAATTTACTGTATCATAAGCATAAATCCTCAGGATCCTAACCATAATAACAAGGAGACAGTGAGAGGCCTGACGAAGCAAAATGCTTGAGTAAAGAAATTTCTTTGAAAGACAGTTACCACAGATTTATTTGGGACAAACCCACCACAGAGGTAAAGAGTCAAGCCAGGAAAAACCACTGCTGTGCTGAACCGTATGGCAGCCTCTAGCCCAGTCCGTGTGGCAACAGAGCACCTGGGATGTGGTGAGAGCGAGTTAGAAGTACTCTGAATGTAAAATGTACACCAGATGTTGAAGAAAGAATGCAAAGTATCTTGTCAATAATTTGTATGTTGATTGTGTGTTCGAATAACATTTGGGATATATATTATTTAAATTTTAAAAATAGGAAAGCCAATGAGTTAGGAGGTTTCCTTGCTATTGTTTTGGTTTCAGTACATCTGTACTGCTCAGCTCCGCACTTCAGTCTCCAAATCCTTGAATGACGTTTTTCAGGAAAAGGACCGATATATTTGCCAGTTAGCAGAGGCAGAGAAATGAAATAGCACAATGGAAAAATGGACAACACTTACAAAGGCCCATCTTATAAGCCCTACCACTAATTTCCCTTTCCCCAGTAGGTCTAAAAGTCTGGACAGGTGCCACACAGGATGTCCACGTTTTGTGGTCTTTGTCTTCTTGAAAGACTAGCTTCACAATGAACGAGTTGGAACTCACACTCTAAAGACACTAAACCACACCAGAACAAAACAGATCCTTAGCTTCTGGTGCTCTCTGAACTAGGTTACAGACGATCTATAGCTGAGAAAGATTACTGGTCTGTTCATTCACTTTCTCCAAGCTAGCAGTATCATGCAATTTATCATACGGCGAACCGAGGAGAGGGCTGGGGCTGCCAGCACCAGCAAACCTGGAAAATCCCCACGGGTAACTGGCGACATCATAGATTCACTTCTCCTAAACCACAAGTCCTGGGGAAAAGCTTACTCTTTATCTTTCCAGGACCCAAATCTGCGATTCACAAGCAGAATATAGTCCCTCGATGGAGCAAACTCTGGCCTCACTTTTGGTTCACACAACATACATAGTAAGTGTTGGAAATACAAAAATGAGTGGGCATCATCTTTGACTCCAAGAATCTGGGAGACTGAGACAAGGCAAATGTCACCTTTCATCTTCCTTCCTCCAACTCTTTTTCTGGGGAAGAAACTGAGGCTATGAAATCCTCCAATGAGGAAGTAGCAGAACCATCTTGATTCTAGAACCTGTGCTCTTAATTACCTTGATACTATATACTCTGCTATAAGTTATTCAGATATGTAACATGCTAAGCATATTGTAATCACTAAACAAATATTAGCTATTATTAGGGGCATCACATGACTATTCTTCAGAATTTTGCTTGACAACTTTCCATTTTTCCATATTTAGGTTTTGGATTATAGACTACCAGTTCAAAAATAAAACAAATACCACAGCCATCTTTATACTCTTCTGGGTATGTTATATAAATCTCCTTTCCCTCCAGCCATTATTTTAAGAAGGCTAATGTCCTGATAAGTGATGATTTAGCAAATTTAATGAAGTAGAACCTCTTGATGGCACAATCAATGAAGCTGTGTGTGTATGTATACAAAATTTAAACACGTTTTCTTTGGCTTTTCCACTTATAAGAACTAAACATGAACCAGATCTCACTAGTGGATATGTAAACAAAAGCAAAAGAAAATATTCATTTTAATATGAATAAACAAACTTTCCAGAGATGGAGTCTGTCAACGGAGTATAAATTGAACTGCCTGAGTATAAATCAATTCATTGTTTTGTTTTGCCTTAAAATTGAACTGACCTAGTGTTTGTCCTCTAAATTATAGGTATTCGTGTAATGATAAAAATGATTAACCACAAGAGGGAGCCAGCACCATTCCAGTTCAGGAGAAAAGGCAAACTAAACTCAAGAAAAACAAGTTAATATAAGACAGCTATGAGGTATCTTCTATGCCATATATGCTAAAAAGATGATTAGAATTATTTTTTACTATTGTAAAGAAAAAAAAAAAACATTTTGCCTTGTCAATTTCATTAGGAAAATTTTTTGAAAGCAAAACCTGAAGGTAACTGTTCACAGGAGTTTAGGAGTCTTTTCTGAGAGAAAAAAGTAATACTATTTAAGATTTTTCAGGTATACCGCATCCTAATGGATTTGCTCCTTGAATTAAACTTGATAAAATCTAATACTGAAAGATACTAAATGGTTTCCTTCAATGAAAACAACAGAATACCACCAAGCCAACTAGCCCAGGCCATGGAGGACCAACAAAGAGCCTACAATACATTACCAAAATACTAATTCAGTTTCCCTGTATCATAAGATCACAGACTGAAAGTCTGAGCATGTCACTAACTCTGTCTGCAACCAGAATTACCCTGTACCTGGTGCAACAATCCCAGACCAATAGCTTATTAGGTGGTCCTCTATTCTTAAAGGTTTCTAAGAAAAAATCTCTTATAGGATTCTTCAATACAGTTCTTAATTTAGAAACTTCCATTTCTACCCTGGATTACTTAGTGGAAATAATTGTCTAAAGTAAATGTGATGAAAAGTAATGGAAAAATAAAACAGTAGGTAGAATTCAAATGGCTGGGCCTTAATGGGAAAAACTAATTGCCACTGACCAAAAAAAAATGAACAAATGGAAAAGAATTCTAATACGATCATAAATAGTTACAGTAACATCAGATATTTCTAATACTAAGAAATTATTTTTATCACAAGTTATAAGATAGCTCAAAAATTTTATGCTGATCCCAATTCTCACATAATGTTAAATTTGGCTATCTGGTTTTCATAACAATAAAACAAGAAGTCTCAACTATCATCCCTTTTAGTTTTTTTTTTAAGTGTAATTATTCAAATGAGCCCAGCTGAAATAGCAATGGTTTTTCTAAATATGCTGTTGTCATTGGTATAACTTTGTTCTGAGTGATAACCAACACCAAATATTGGTGGAAGAAGTGAAAATAAGCATAGAAAAAAATAGTAAAAATTAAAATTTTACATATTTAAATACTCAATGTTTTTTAGAAGTCTGATATAATTTAAAGAGATAACTTCATTTTCCGATGTGTTCACTGTGGGATTACACACTACATTCCACCTGAAATGCCTTCTCCAGCCTTGCCTGCTGTCACATGTCTGCATCTGATCTGTCCCGACTTAAATATCATGTCCATCAATAGAGGCTGGACTCTCTCCCCACAAACTGTAATTTCACATGAACCACAGGAGATAAAAAGTTAATCAGTTTCTACCTTATACTTTGGTGATTTTCATGTCTTACCTGTAAAATGTTAGCTCTTTCACTCATCTTTGTGCCCTCCCACCCCACCATCTATGCAAACAGTAAGTAACAGTAAAAACAGCAAATAATTCAGCACTTCTGAATCCTCTATTGTATACTCTTGTGGAGGACTGCTTTACACAAATCACACAAGGAAAATTTTTTTCTAGGCAATAAACGAATTCAACTTACTTGTTCGCTTTCTTAGATGTAGCGATCTTAGGACAAGTACTGCGTTTGTGGTCTAATTCACCACAAATAAAGCAGCCATCTTTAGGGCCCCCGCAAGAATGATTTGGAAGAGCACAGTGACTACAAATGCTACAGTGGATCCAGGCTATAAAATAAAAATTAAGTTTTAGAAGAAGTTCATTTAATATAATTTTTCATTTGATCAACCTTTATGACAGGGAAGCATGAATAGTGTTTACTTCAAATACTGTGACTGGTCTGCATAGCTGGTTATAATTTGGCTAAAGCACCAAGGTTAAGAGGTTGGAATCCCACATAAAGCAACTAACTTCTTTCTGATACATGGCAACCAATGCAGCCCTTCCTCAATGAGCCATGAGCAGAGAGCCCCACTGACACAATGGGGTCTGGCTGAGTGACACAAAGCCCTAATAAAATGAGCCAAACCAAATGCCACAGTGGAACAGGTTACAAAGTCATGTCTCCCTATGAAAGAGAGAGTGTGTATTTTGGCAACTGCCAAAATTATAAAGCAAGTAAATCAATGCAGGTCTTTATATTAATTTTTTTTCTCTTATAAACACAAATAAAAATCCCATTTAGCTGAAGAAAAACTCTGAAATGTTTTCATAGGATCTCAAACACGGAGTCTAAATACTTACAAGGTTTTACACACTTTTTGCAGAGAAAGCAATGGTTCCATTTCCTGCCATCCTACAACAATAATTTTTAAATTATATTTAATGTATCATTAAAAATCAAGTTCTACAATTAAAAATTAAAATGTCCTTTAAAAATCTGTGTAAATTATTCATTCCTTATTTCTCACTTTCGTGGGCTTCACAATTAAATACTTTGATTTTAATCTATGCATTTCTCCACTCAATTCAAATGCCTCCTTGATGGGCCCCAATTTCCTTAACTGGAAAACTAGGGGATTTATCTACATGATCTTGAAAGTCCACTCCAGTTCAAGCAACCCAATCGGCACAAAGAAGGACTCAATTTCAAGAGAATTAATGATTCATAACTTTTATGTGTCTATGCAGCATAATCCTTAATGAAATTCATATTTGAGAAATTTATATAATTTTAAAAGATACAGATTATAGGGTACTGTTTGGGTAATGTTAAATCTGTGAAACAAAACTACCTAGAAAAGTATATAAGACACTTACATGTCCAGTTTAATGAGTCTTATAAAGTACACATTGATGAATCCCAACAGGTCAAGAGTACACTGTCAGCCCCCTAGACACTCCTTCGGGTAGCCCTTCCCAATCCAGCATTCCTCTTCCCCACCGAGTAACACCTACTCTGGTTTCTGTGATGGTCACTTCCTTGCTTTTGTTTTTTTACCACTTATGTGGTAAATAATAAAGTTTTGTTTTCCTCATTTTGAGCTTTATAAAAATGACCTGGGCATAATTTTTTTTAAATAAAGAACACAGATAATATCTAAACTGATTGAAAATACATGTAATCAGATGTGCTACCACAGTTAAAAACAAGTATAACCAATAACAAAATTGTAAAGTTATGCAAAATGTATCTTATGATAGTTATAAAAATACAGGCTTTCCTTTGGACAATCATTTGTGCGTATTAGCCAAACTAAACTTCACCTGTTCTTTCTGACTGGATTTAGTTAAAATAAATAGGCCACCTTACGGGTCATCCCACCTTCTTAAAACAATAAGTAGGAGGTGTGTCCCTGTCCTTCCTGACCTGTAAAAACTGGAGAGTACTTATCTACTAGGGCTTTGTGCAGAGTGACTCAGTTAATCCATGTACAGCCCTTAGGGAAGGTCCTGGCACATAAAAAGTGCACAGTATATGTTCTTTATTATTTCATCAGAATGGGGACGGTATCTCATAGTTCAGTTCCTTATTTGAAACATCTTAATTTTACCCTCAACAAAGGTTAGCACTCACCTCATGCCTTATTTGAAATATTCCTGATTTTAGCAGTCATACAGTCATACAGTACCTCACATAAAAGTGAATTTAGGGGCACCTCGGTGGGTTAGTCGGTTAAGCATCTGCCTTCAGCTCAGGTCATGATCCCCGGGTCCTGGGACTGAGCCCCGCTTCGGGCTCCCTGCTTAGCGGGGAGTCTGCTTCTCCCTCTGCCCCTCCCCCCAGCTTGTGCGCGTGCTCTCTCTCAAATAAAAAAATCTCTTAAAAAAATAACATTAAGCAAATGTAATGAAACAAGTAAGCTAAAATAAAATGAATATATATGAATAAAAATCCATTCTGTAGAAACTATACCTTGGAGGTACAAGAATTACAGTGCTCACAGTGTTGATTCTCTAGGGAAACATATCGTTGACAAAGAGGGCAAAATCTAAGGAGGAAAGAAAGACTTAAATCAGCTGCATATTTTCAAGAAGATTCACAGAGCAGATAAATGGCACTTGTTATAAAAATGGAGTGTAATCCAAATTCAATTCAAAATTACAGACCAAATTTAAAGGTAGCAGAAGAACTACATGAGTCAATATTAAAAGCATTTTCATGTTGGATATATGGAACTTTATTCTCAGTGATTCGTATATCTCAAGGCCCCACTAGGATCTTACCTGTACCCTTCTTCGCTAGGAAGGATTATTTTGTTGGGTGGAATATTGGTGAAAATACGCACAGGAGACTGTTTTCGACCTGTCTTCCCATGTTTATAAAGTGCATGATTATCATAATCTACCTAGAAAGTTTAAAAAATTGAAAAAGAAAATTTACTTAAAGGAGTCAACATCTATGAAGATTCTTTAACCAATAAAGAACAAGCTGATGCTAATAGAGGAATTAAACCAAAGTATTTAAGAAGAAATTCTTAAAAGCAAGAGTTTACTTATTAATCAACAGAGAGGCCTCTATGGCGGTGAAATTTCATTATAGAAAATGTAAACTTTGTTATAAATTCATATTGCCTGGTCTTAAGAGAACAACTGTAATCTTTTATCCAAAACAACAGACTTTGCAAGAAGGCCTATTATGGAATTACAAGTTTGGCTTTTGGCGCTAAAGAATTCCACCCTTGAAGATGTGTGATGCCTCAGTGGGGGCTTTTCATTTTTGTGTGTGAGATGGGCTACTTGTCAGTTCGCAGGTCACCGAGTCTCAGTACAGCCTTACTCTGACGCCCCCCACCATTTACAGGCCGAGCATAGCGTTGGGGACCAGAGAGGCTCTGCCACTCACCTGTTGCGCCGTGAGACAAATTTACATAATTCTCACCTGGAAACAGAGGTTACTGAGCCCTGCCCCAGAGATCTGGGAAGGTTACATGAGACAATGTGTGTACAACGCCCAGTTCGGGGCCTGGCATATTGTAGAGACAGAAAGATGCGGACGAAGAGAGAGATTCAGCAACAGTTGTGACTATTTCGGATATTAACCTCTCCTCAAGACCCCTACCTCAGCTTTCAGCCTTGGCAGATCATCCTGAAAGGAAGCTGGAGCTAACAGGCTCAATGTCTATTAGCTTCTTGCTCTTGTCTCCTTCTCCAACCTCTCTGCTATCCACACACGTTCTCACTTTGGTTTTAAGCCTGCTCTGAATCCACCTGGTCACTAAGTCCATCCTTCTTTAGATCACTAATTCTCCAAGTGCGGGGACTGGATCAGCAACACCAGCATCGCCCCTGAGAGCTTGTTAGAAAAGCACATTATCGCCCCACCAAAGGACCTCATAAAACAGAAGTTCTCGGGGGTCAGGCCCCACAATCTGTATTCTTAACAAGCCCTCCTGGCACACTAAAGTTTGAGAACCATTGTTCTAGATTATTCACAAGAATATGGTGAGTTTTTTATTAAGTCAGTAAAGGCAGAACCCAACTTTCAAATACATTATAATGAACTATTTAGATTCTAAATAAGAATACACTTAAGAATTTTTCAAAAGAACTGGCTTGCAAGCTAGCTCTAATAAGCAAACCACAAAAATGTAAGGACTTACTGACAATGGAAAGAGAGGGCTTTAATGAGAAATTCCTAAGCTCTCCGAACGACCCTGCCCACGGCTACCACTTTAACAGGTGAACGAGTTCAGCAAGACTGATCAATAAGCTTTAGCAGTGGGGGGAAAAGTAAGTGCCATACAAGGAGACCCAGCTAGACAAGGGACAGTGTGGGTAAACCAAACCAAACCAAACCTGGGGGTCTGGTTAACTGTCAGCATGGTGAGTCCACAGTCTGGCTAACTGTACTAAAGCTGTCACGGGCTCACGGCCGCCCTGTACGGAAGTGTAATACCATAACAAGCCAAGGATGAGGTCAGATCATATGTGAAGCCCTGCATTCAGTCACTGCATTTGAAGGGAGACCCTGATAAAACCAGTTCGTTTCTACCGAAAGTAATGGGAAGAGGATTTGTCATTTAACATTTTGGGGGTGTTTATTCAGAAAAGCGCAAACTAGGAGGATCTGATAGCTATTTTATAACTGAAGTGGTGTCGGTGGAATCAAAATGAGACTTAGCCTTTATTGCTTTGGAGAACAGAAGTAGGACCAATGGTTAGAAGTTAATAGGGAGCATATTTTATCTCAATATGAGAAAATTTTCTAACGATTAGAGCTATTAAATAAATTGAGTTGCCTTGTAAGGCTGCAGGACTTTGCTCGCTGAAAGCATTCAAGTGAGGCCGGGTGACGGCTTGTCATGAATTTAGCAGAGAGGATTATTACAGTGGGAAGTTAGCCTATGGTACACCCCTCATGGTTCTTTCCAACTTTAAAATTCTCTGAATATATGTCACCTGTTAGAGGCTAAGATACAAAAGCAGATTTTACTTCAAAATCACCTTAAAATAGTACCATTAAGTAGTTTTTTCAAAATGATTTAAATTCGTAATTTTTCCCTAATGCACTCCTCTATGTATTTTATAAATATATGACACTTTATTAAATTCAACAAAGATATTTTGAACATTTGTGTCATAAGAAAAAAAAAATTCTTCCCAAGAAAACCTTTCAAAGATCTTCAAATGTTGGAAAAGAGGGCCTTAGAAAGATTTCTAGTAAATGGAATATTCCATGCAACACAATAGATAGCAGATGGAAGAGAAGGAAAGAAAGAACAATCTCTTTATGGTTACCCAAGGAGTCGGAGAACGTATGTGTCAGGAAGGTGGTTGATTGCTTGATTTTGCATAACCTAATTGAGATTATTATTATTTTTAAATGCGGGTTTGTTGTGCTAATTAACTATAAACATATGGTATGTAAAACGCATGCTGCTAGGATAAATTAATGTACCTCTAACATACATCCATATTTCATAGCTTCATCCACACAAATAAACGTCCTATGGAAGCGCTGTAAAGCAAACACAATTTTGCAAATTGCGTATCACCAGTGGTAGAGCTGATACACCATTTTCCCATCATTATCTCTGACATTTCACTCACAATGATGAGAGGAATTTTCAAATAGAAAATTTCTCCCAGGGAACTGATTAATGTGATGAAGTACTGTATAGAAATGAGGGAAAGCAAAGAATCTCTGCAATTCTTAACTTTTAATTTTATCTATACGCAAATTTCTTCTGTGACATGAGACTGAAACCAGTTATATGGAAACCAAGATGTTCAAGTCAACAGACATTTATTTTGCACCTACTATGTTCTAGGCATCTGGTCGGGAAACAAAGATGAAGTAAGACAGAGTATTTGTATTTTCCTAACTCCCTCGGGATTGTGTTCTATTTAATTTCAATGCATCAAAAGATTGCCATCAGCCAACTTCCACAAGTGCAAAAAGGTCTTTTAGTCATATTGCCCATATCCCTCTTACCTCTTATTTAAAATTATATCTATATGTATGTATATTATATATATATTATGACCCTTGTCACTCCAAACCCATTAAATGTTTGTGTTTATTACACATCAAGTTTTAAGAATTTCAGCTGTCATCTTGTAACTTGCAATCACTTGTCAGAAATTCCTGTCAAAATATCTTCACTCCTGAACATGAAACTAACCTCAAAAAAAGTCTTCTACACAGGATGATTTTTTAAGGGACAGCTTTAAAAAAAAAAAAAGCTTTACTTTTAACAATCCAGACAAATGCCCCAGATGAAGTAGGAACAAGACATCATAGCATGTTCCTGGTGGAAGGAAAGTGAGATCTAGTTCAGATATGGTAAATACAGGACCTGAATTCCACCACGCCCAAACCCGGCCCATGGCAGACATCACTAATCAATCATACACTACCCCCTCCGCCACTGAGCCTGGTATTCTCCACAAATTCTCCAGAAAGTCACTACCAATTTTCAGGCTTAGCACTAAAGCACTAAAAGTGAAACTTATCTGCCATCTCTTTCCTGATCCAATCATTTTATTTTATACGTAAGGAAACAGAGGCCAAGAAAGATAAACTGACTTCTCCCTCTTAAGATTAAAGAGCCTCTAAAAGGCAGTGTGCTAGGACTCACACTTTTGATTCTGGGTCAAAATTTCTTTTCCTTATCACATCCTTCCTTTCTAATCTGCCCTTAATAAAACTCTTGCTTTTCTAGGTCTTTGATGACTGTTTTATTCTGTACTCATCAAGTGCTTTATCACTGAACAGTCTACATAATTTATATTTTATGGAGATCTGCGGCATTTCTGCCTCCCTATTACCTGAAAAGTATCTCAAAAAAAAAAGATTTAGTGATTTGGGGTTTTTTGTTTTTTTACTGCATTGTGGTTTGGGGGCTCATAATCACCTTAGGCAATGTGAGAAAGAAGGTCTAATCGAGGTGTATAGCAAAAGACCTGTGAAGGAGGACAAGAGACTTTCAAATTTTTCATTTGATGAAGGCAGCTAATATACAAGAAAAGAAATTACTACAAAATAAGGTTAAAATAACAAGAAAAGGAAAAAAGAAAAAGTTTCAGAAAGAATAATAATAATAATAAATCCAGAGAAACTTTCAGGAAAGAAAGAAATTAAGAAAAGCACGAAAGACCGATCATCAAGGTGAGGTACAACAAATAAGACTTATGAACACAATAGAAGATATGGTAAAATCAGTTTCTCCAACTGAGCATGCAATGGGCAAGTAGTGTTCTTATCTTTAGTAGGAATCAGGAAAAACGAAGATTTGTTTTGTTTCACAGATTTTATTCTAGTTTTTCCTTTCAAAGTTTGGCTTTCTCTTTACTAAAAAGACTGCTTTTCACCTTGTCTGATACCCTGTCTGATAAGGCCTAGTTAGAAACTTTCTTCACCAATACACTGAATTGTATAATTATTTTTAATAAGCTTGGACCTTGGAACTATTTCTCAAAACTGAGACTGCAGTATTTCCACAAGTTCCTTTCTAGTAACACAGACTGTCGAAACAAGCCATGGCTGGTTTCTCCACTTGAACCTCTCTCGTCCACTCTACTCTGGATCTGCCTTCTTTGGCCTCCTTGCCATTTCAAACTCTTGCCCGCAGTGAAAATGCATTTCTAAATGTGCATGGAACAGTTTTCTGAGGGACCCTATGTTTCATATACTGTACAAAAAAAAAGAAAGCCCCAAAAAAGAGTTTTACCCGTACCCGGGGACTATCTGAATGATCTCAACAGTGCTGAGAGCAATAACCTTTGGTCTACATTTGCTGTGTGTTCGGGACAAGGCTAAGCCTTTTCGTGTATTGTCTCATATAACTCCTAAAACCTTATGAGGCAGGTATATTATTACTCTGCTCATTTAACAGGTCACATGAGCTGCAGGGAGTTAGATAAAATGTGTAGGCCTAACTAGTAAGTGGCAGAACCAGGATTAAAACCCAGTTCCTTTCCAACTCTGGAGTTCATGCTATTTTTCACTCAACATGTGTAAAGCACCTACTCTGTGCCAGACATTGTTCTAGATGATTATTCACTGTCGAAGGCAGCAGGCGCTCCTGCCAACTGAAAATAGTTTATTTAGTTAACGTCTTTAGGATATGTCTGCTATCTCTGCACTGCAAATGTCAATACTAGAAGTACCCCTCGGACAAGAAACAGAAAACTATGTGCTCTAAAAAGGAAAGTAAACCAGATTTGGGAAGAATTATGATGTGGACTTTACCTAATGCAGAGCTCAAGAAGTTAAGGTTAAAATGGCTTGTGCTATAAACTTTGGAAAGGAACTGTTATGTGGTTCAGTAGCCATAAAATGTCCATTAAATTTGATAACATAATTTTTGGAATTCTATTTCAGTTTTGGAAATTCATTTTAAGGAAGTTATGTAAAATCTGGAAAACTTATGTGAATAAGAGATGTTTATGGCAGTGTTACTTATAGTACCTTAAAGGCAGAAGCAACCTGTGTGTCTAAGAAAAACAATGCTAATAACTGATAATATAACCTGCTAATGAAATAATGTGAAGTGATTAAAAGCAGGTGCCTGGGAGGCTCAGTCGGTTAAGCATCTGCCTTCGGCTCAGGTCATGATCTCGGGGTCCTGAGATCGAACTTCCCACTGGGCCCCCTGCTCAGTGGGAAGCCTGCTTCTCCCTATCCCTCTGCCTGCCCCTCCCCCTGCTTTTGCCCTCTCTCTGTCAAATGAATAAATAAAATCTTAAAAAAAAAAATAAAGTGATTAAAAGCATAAAGACTATGGAGCTACATGCCTGGGTGGCTCAGATGGTTAAGCGTCTGCCTTCGGCTCAGGTCATGATCCCAGGGTCCTGGGATCGAGTCCCGCATCGGGCTCCCTGCTAGGCGGGGAGCCTGCTTCTCCCTCTGCCTCTGCCTCTCTCTCTCTCTCTGACTCTCATGAATAAATAAATAAAAAACATTAAAAAAAAAAAGTTATATCTGGGAAAAAGAAGAAAAAAATAGAATAATATTTAAAAAAAATAAAATAAAAATGTACACTTACGTACATGAGACACAGTGAAGAAAGCAAAATTCGGATTCATCTGCTATGATTACAAACCTGTAAAACGTGTCAAATTATGATATTTGCTACTTGGGGTGAATGGCAGGTAGGGGTCTGTCCTCTCATTTTTTTGATAACATTGTTTCTTTCAGAATTTCTAGATAATTTTCCTAACAGTAAATGCCTTCAAGATTAGAAAGATGAGATCCAAGTGCTAGCTTGGAACAGGTAGTGAGGACATGTTCATTTTCAGTTCCGGGGCTGAAAAGCCTTCATCAAGGTAGTCCATTGCTCAGAAAGCTCAAACAGAAAAATGTCATTACAAAAGAGGAAGCAATGGCCACTTGGCGACCCCACGGTGCTGGTGACAGGGGTTAACTTCAGAACCCAAGGAAATGAACAGAGAAGGAAGTGGACACTAAAGCAGCAGGAGTTGAGGGCAGAGGCGGGAGGGAGGGCCGGTCAGCTCCACCCTGGCATCAGCACACTCGCCCCCACACGCAGGCCTCAGCCTCTCTGCTCCTCTGCCACCTGCCAACCTGGACACACCTCCCTTCAGAGCTGCCAGCATCCTCTGAGTGGTACAGTAAAGTGTACTTGACATTCCACTGACCAGAAAAAGCAACTCACTTCTCTACAATCTCTGAACAGACAAAACTGTTCATAACAATGACTCTGGGGTCAGTTAGGTCAGTGGGTCTAAAACCTAGCCGCGCTGCAGGGTCACCTGGGAAGCTTGGTAAAATGTGCTTTCTTGGAGCTCTACCCTCTAATTTTGATTTAGTAGGTGTATTTTGGTACCTAAGAATCTATATTTTTTAATAAACACCCCTAAGAATTACATTTAGGAACCTCTGGACTAAGCAATGCATGGTACAATTTTAGTGTTTAATACAGCTTATCATAGTTTCATTTCCTAAAATCGATGGACAGTCTGATCAGAGTATTTATTTAAGTGGAATATCCATTCATCAACTGTGCCAGAAAAGAAAATATTTACTATACCTGGTAATCCAGCATGCAGAAGCTTGGAAAAAACTGATGAATTCGGGATTCAAAAAAATAAGGGAAAATCCAGAATATGGGTAGTTCTTTGTGACTGCTATCTAATGGACCACAAAAAAGGAAAAGAAAATAAGAAATTGGTATTTTAAAAAAATAAAAGAGCTGTAACTGAAATACTTCTAATATTGGGAGAAATTGCAATTGTTCAATACACTTAAATCATACAAAAGAAGAGAACGTTTACCAGAATGCCATTTACAACTTGACCTTTCCCAAAAGTCAATGGAAACATTCTTTTACACCTAAACGCAGGTATAAAGGGTATATAAAAGTAACCCTTACACACATAATCACTATATTCTAGGTAAAGGCAAAGATATCACTAATTAATAAACAACCCCATTTTATAGACAGGGCAACCGAAGCCATAAGATTTAAGTAATTTGTTCTTCATTGCTTCCTCAGTAACACTGACTGTATCCATTCTGATCAGTGGACTTAAGAACTGAAAATAAGTGGAATACTTAACACTGAGTCATGTTTCGGATTTCTTTTGCATACTGTCTCCAAAGCACACTATTTATGTAGCACAATTAAAGGAGAAGCTCGATCACAAATTCCTGACACTCTTAACAGTTCGTCAACTTGCAAGCTGGAAACTAAAAAATGATTGTACCAACTAATTAAACAATTAATTAAATAAAATATTTTGAAGGCCTAAGCCACTTTAAGCTGAATAATAACCCCCAGCCACTAACCCACCTCTACTGTGTGGGTGTCTATCTGTCACTGATAACCACGGTAAGGCTGGTGCATATCCGATCTTCCTACCTAAATCTTGGCACAGTTTAGAGCTCTGAGCCAGAGGCTGGGCACCCTCTTAGAGCTGTGGGCAAGACTTTAGGAACATGGAATGTAAGATCCATGAGGGCAGGAATATGTGTCTGTCTGGTTCAATACTCTATTTCCAGCACCTAAACAGTACCTGGTACACAGGGGCCACTCAGTAAATAGTTATTGAATAAATGACAACAGTTTACTGCTATTCTTCATAATGTCCCCTTATGCTCACCTACAAGTCATTTTGAGAACATGTGATTAGGATAATACAAAGTGTATCATGATAATGAAGTCTGCCACATTCTCAAATAAGCCTATTAAAAAAAACACACACACACAAAAAAACACAAGAACCCAAGACATGTATATTTTATCAGAGCTCCAATTCACTGAGCTCTGCTAATATTTGACAGGAAGTAGATACACAGATACATGTTTATTCTGCAGTAAGTAATAAATTACACACCTTGGCTTTGACCTTCTTTCCACATAGCAATTAACTTCTTGAATGTAACAGCCAGAGGTTCAACCAAGCCACCAAAAGGAGGATCTGTCACCATAATGACTCCCTCACCTTTATCTTCCTTTAAAAATGTTCTGCATACTTCAAGGGCAGCCTGGAACAAATAAAAATTCATTTCTAAATGAGGACTACAGGGAGACACTCCATCCTATTCAGAGAATGCATTAGGCTCGCTCCCACTGTTTGTACTGAAACTTCACCCGTCCTGCCACCCCAGAGTCCCTCAGTGACGTCCTGAAGCCTCTCCCATTCAGCCCCCAAGAGATTTTATCTTTTGGGTTCCTTGATAAGTGGGTTTTTAAAATTGCAAATTCAAGCACCATCACTATCAGAGGACTACACATTTCAAATGGTTCAATTAAAAAACTAAATTTAGTAACCTGAGAGAGAAAAACTCATTACCCATGAAGACTATCTAAAATGCTGAATTCAATCCCACAAACAGAAGCGGGGACTGAGCTAGACACTGGAGACACAAAGACAAATAAGACCTATTTTTTCCCTGTCTGATTTGTCCACCACCACGAGTTCACACATTATCAGTCACCGCACACACATTGCTGAGCAGCAGGTACTGGACAGACGTGTTCGGACACGCACGGTAAGTAAATGAATGAGAGTCCACAAATAACAAAGCTCAGCCAGGCCATAAAACCAGGCTATTAACACATTTTCCCAACAGACCAAGTGGAGTGTTTTTAGTCATTGTAAAATTAACATTACGCACTGTCTATTATTTTCTGCTTCGGGAGAAGACATAATAAGAGATATACCTATTATACTAACTCCAGTCTACTGGCTCTGTAGTCCTTTCCAAGCACTCACCTATAAAAGCAAATCAGCACAGTATACAAAATAGTCTAAGACTTTAAAGTTTAATGGCATTTTAAACTTTAATAAACCCATATGTACTTTATAATAAAATATATATTGCTCTACTACTAAATCAATTTAGAAGACTCAGCTGATGACAGGAAAAACGACAACATCCTAATCCGCTTTCCCGAGGAGAGTCTTTATTAACTTCCTACTGGAAGTCCTAGAGCGAGGGATGGTGTGTCAGGAAGGTTAATCATTTTTCAAGTGCTGCCTGGCACTTCCTTAACCTGCCTACATGAACAAGGACTTAAAATACAGATGATGTTACTGAAAAACCTTCCAGTTCCTTAGACTTAAAGGTAGGAAAAGAAAATAAACAAGGAAATGAAACCTCCACTCTTAGCCAAATTAAAAAACCATAGAGTACATCTGTTTCCGGGTAAGAATCAATGGGGTGACGTCCAGTCGTGACCCGCTGAGGGTCCTAATGTTGACCACCTATGGAAACCAGACGCTTGCTTATGCTACCCGTGTTGACAGTGCCTTACCTCTTCCCTCCATCTCAATCATCACTAGAAAAGTCCTTGGTACTTTATTATTTTTTTTAAAGATTTATTTACTGATTTGTTTGGGGGGGAGAGAGAGAGAGAGTGTGTGGGTGTGCACACGAGCGGGGGGAGGGGCAGAAGGGGAAGGAGAGAGAGAGAGAGAGAGGAGCAGACTCCCCACTGAGCAGGGAGCCCAAGGCGGGGCTCGATCCCAGGACCCCAGGACCATGATCTGAGCCAAAGGCGGACGCTTAACCTATTGAGCCACCCCAGGCACCCCAAAAGTGCTTGGTACTTTAAATAACCATCCCCTGTACATACTTCAACCTCCCTGACCATTAAGGCATATGACATTTTCTATTACCTGAAAGACTATATGATTTTCTATGAGAAAATCCTGCACAGGGAACTCCCGCTTTTTAATCCAGTGCGCTGTGAAGTGCTTATGGGCCTCAACAGAAGCTTATATACCCCAAAGCACCCTGTACACCTTCATAGGCGCCTCGTAGATGCTTCAATACTCAGGGATTGGTAAGTAGATGGTAAGCCTCCACTGAAAACCCTGACTCAGGAAGTAGGCAGAAAAAGGGCAGAGAGTAAAATCATCCAAGACAACAGTTTTCTGTAGATCAATCCCTACAGTCTCAGTGCTATGTAGAGGCCGCTCCTAAAATATAGAGAAAGGAAGGCCTGAGCTAGATGATTGTTTTCTTCCGGGAAAAATAAAGTGGAGCCCAGTCTTGGCAGCTTATTCCAACCATTATCTTAGAAACTTATAAGGTAATTCCATAAGCTTTCAATAAAAGTTAAAAAGAATTTTCTAGAAAAAGGCTAATTACATGCTACATTCTTAAAATATAAACAACGGTTAGCCAACTGTTAGGTATTCAAACATCATTTCACTCTTATCTCACCATTACTGTTCAAGACAGAAAGCAAAGTCATGGTATGAAAAACAAATAAGCACATAAACAAAGCCGACGCACGACTGCAGCATCCAGCAGTAATACAGACGTAGTTATTTTACCTACTCTGACGCCGGCCCTGACTGCACCTGTCCCCTGACCACACCCTGGAGCTTGAGGCCCCAGAGTTTCAAGAAGCCATACCGAATACCTCTACATCAATATTCCACCTGCCCCACAAACCCAACATTTCCAATTTTCAATTCCAACCTTTCCTACCCTGTTTTGAAGAATGAAATACAAAGCCAGGCTGGACCACTAAGTCATCTTTGACTTCTCCCCCAGTACACTTACCACCAAGTCTTCCAGTTTCCATCTGTGAAATGCCTACTGAACCCACCTCTCTCATTTCCTCATCACCACTGGCCTAGCTGAGAAGTCCACCATCGTCTGTTGTCAAGTGAGTTTGCAATTCCTCTCTCCTTCACATTCATCTAATCAGTTCTTAAATCCTAGAAATTATCGACCACATAAGCCCTTCGGAAAACTAACTATGTCTAATTCTAAACTGCTATTTATTTCAATACTTGGTTTACATGGCTATCACAGCTAAAAAATATGTATTTCAATGCTGACTGAGTCTCATGGAAGGAGTGCATCATTGGCTAGACTGAACCAGGAGACTCATTTTCCAATCCCAACCAACAATTTAAAATTTGTTTTCATTTCCTAAATACGTAGTTTTTTAGTTTTGCTTGGTTTTTGTTCTATCATTAATTAACACCTTAAAACACAATATATACTTATACATGGTTTACAATTTTTGAAAAAATTGATATACGTGCATATATGGATATGTGCTTCAGGTAGTCTTGATCATTTCAAACAGTTGCGGCCAACTTCCTGTCAGGTGTGATTACTTGGTTGGGTATAGTTTTTACTTTGTAATACAACTGGCAAAGAGCTCAAACTAGAAATATCAGCTCTGCTATGTTGTTTATTTATAGTGACATTAATAACACCGTATTATTGAAAGAAGCTACGCCCTGCTACCCATGGACGGCCTCCCTCATTATCACCATCCCCCACCAGAGTGGTGCATTTGCTGCAACTAATGAACCTACATTGACACATCATTATCACCCAGAGTTAACAGATTAGGGGTCACTCTTGACCCTGTCTAATTTTTAAGAATTAGTTTAATAAAACTATAAATCCCTTTAACTGGTACATGACATTTACCAGGGAGGCAGACTGATACCAAACAACTATCCACAGAATTTTTTTTTTTTAATATTTTATTTATTTATTTGAGAGAGAGAGAATGAGAGACAGAGAGCACGAGAGGGAAGAGGGTCAGAGGGAGGAGCAGACCCCCCACTGAGCAGGGAGCCCGATGCGGGACTCGATCCCAGGACTCCAGGATCATGACCTGAGCCGAAGGCAGTCGCTTAACCAACTGAGCCACCCAGGCGCCCAATCCACAGAATTTTTTAATTATAGTATCATATAGCTACAGAGGAGAGCCTGACCTTGTCTGGGGGTCAGGGGAGGCTAGAGAAAGTGACTTGGAACAGAGCTTTGAAGGACAAGGTAAAGTTAACAAAGACTAGAAGGCAGAGGGAACAGCATGGGCAAAAGCCCACTTGGCAGAAAAGACAAAAGCCAGTCCCAGATGAAAGCCATACATCCAGAACACAAACAAACCCCAGAGCGGGAACAAGAAGACAGACTGGAGGGTGGCAGGGGTCAGATCAGGCAGAGCCCTGGGGGCCTTGGTAAGAAAGTGGGTCTGTATCCAAAGAGCAGTGAAAAATCACAAAAGAAGAACAGCACAATTCACTTCTAGATGCTCGATACACACTCAGTAGATGAAGAAAAAAAAAATGCCAATCAATAAATGGTGGAACAGCCATGATATGATCTTGAGGGACTCTAAGAAAATAAGAGAGGGTACTCTGGAATTTGTTCTTCCACAATAAGAAGGATAACGGTCGTAATTCTTACCTTTCCATCAAAGAAGTGATGGTTAAACATGTTATAATGGCAAAAGCTATCTTCCATATAAAACTGTGAATACCTGTAAAATAATTTATTACTGTAGTTATTTGTCCAGTTATGGCTATATAGTAAGTAAATACAAACTAAATTTTAAAACTATGAAATCACACCTTTAATAAAAGCAATTTCATCATTCCTTAGTGTTCTGGAATATAAAGAATACTTCTCCAAAATCTCAGGGAGTCAGTCACAATGAATGAATATCAAACTTAAATTATGTTCCCAAGTTAATAAGCTAGTGACAAAACTACAGAAGACTCATATATAAAGTTCACATGTTCCTTCAGACCACAAAATAATACAGAAACAATGAGATCACTGATAGATTGTTATACAATTTAAGTTTGAGATGGGTTGGCAATTAAAATACATTTCATACTTAATAATTTTAAGAAAAACACTGAATCAACATTTCTGCTCAACAGCTGTTAATTATTTTCTTCTGTGGTTAACAAAAAAAATATTTAATACAAAGCATTTCTTGTCTATTGCAGATTAGCTCAATAAAATATGCTTCTCAATATATAAGAAAAATAAGTACGTGCCTTTCATATTTACTGAATTAGTGCCAGGAAAGAGAGAGATTTATTTACTGATTGAACCATTTTATTCTTCTAAGATACTACTTTACAATGCAATCAGTAATGAATGAGAGTACCAGCTTTGGGCATTAACATTTTATAAATTTTTGCTAATTTACTAAAAACTCATAGCACATTATGATTTAAATTTACTTTTATTTGATTTCTTATAAGACTGAGCTTTCTTTACACCTTAATTGTCTGTCTCTACGTTTTCCCCATTTTTACATATATGGGTCTTGGTAGTTCTGGCTGAATACTGAGCTTTTTGTATAATGTTTGTTATCACAATAGGATTCTGAACTTCCAAAATTTTGCTATAAACAATTCACATATGAACCACACCATCCTTCTACAGAATTCATAACCTAGTGAAAAAAATCAGGGACACATGCTTTTTACACAACTTATTTAACCAAATCGTGAGAGCAGCACTTTGCTTCTACTTCTACTCCTCCCTTACTGTCCATAACTGACCACCCATGGTGACTATTTCATCTAACAGGCAGCCCTGCTTTATCCTCTTCATATTACACTATGATTAAAAGTACAGGCTCTAGGGGCGCCTGGGTGGCTCAGTCGTTAAGCGTCTGCCTTCAGCTCAGGTCATGATCCCGGGGTCCTAGGATCGAGCCCCGCCACTGGGCTCCCTGCTCCGCGGGAGGCCTGCTTCCCCCTCTCCCACTGCCCCTGCTTGTGTTCCTGCTTTCGCTGTGTCTCTCTCTGTCAAATAAATAAATAAATAAATCTTAAAAAAAAAAAAAAAAAAGTACAGGCTCTACAGTCAGATGGTCTGGTTCCAAACACTGGGTCTTAGGGCGCCTGGGTGGCTCAGCTGGTTAGGCATTCAACTCCTGATTTTGGCTCAGGTCATGATCTTGGGGTCATAGGACTGAGCCCCCACAAAAGGATCTGCGCTCAGCTTGTCCCTCTCCCTCCCTTCCTGCCCCTCCCTGTGTTCACTCACACACTCTCAAATAAATAAAATCTTAAAAAAAAAAAAAAAAGCCTGGGTGTTTCACTTAGTACTTATGTAACCTTAGTGAGTTACTTAACCTATTGAGCCTCAGTTTCTTCATCTACAAAATGGAAGAAATAATAGTGTCTACTCCAAAGGACTTGGTAAATATAAGTGAGATAATATATGTAAAGTGCTTAATACAAAGCAGCTGCATACCATATACTAAAATGTTAGGCATCGCTATTTTAATAAATATCAGCTATAAAGATTTATGTCTTAATGCCCCTCATATTAGGGAATCATGTTTATGTCCAACCAAAATTTCTCCTCCTATAATCTAAACCCCTTTCATCTTGTGCTGTAGAGACAGAAGAACAGCTGTTCATTCTAAGTACAATGTCCCTTAATATCATTTGAGATACTGTTAGTACATCTGCTGATTTCATAAAACATAAATTTACACTGAAGAAATAAACAAAAGGTTTAGATAACTGAAAACACATTTAAACTATAGACTGTAACCTGATGAACATTCCAAAACCTGTGGGAAAATGTCAATTAGCGTTAGTAAACAAATGTCTTCCTAATTAACTCAATTCCAAGTAACTGATGATATAGATATATCAGTTATCTATAGGTGTATCTCAGTAGTAGTAATGCCGTGGATCAACTATCATTTGATGATCTTCTTCTTTCTTGTATTGCTTTGTAAGTGTGAGCAAAGGAAAATACAATCCCTTTTAAAATATATTTCTACCCCCTCTCCACTTTTTTGTATTGCTTCTCAAAGACACAATAGTCTGTTTTTTAAAAATTAAAAAAGAAATTTTATTTACATAAAATTCAGCACAGCACACTTGTCTAAAACATTCTGGGCAGCAGTAGGCAGAGTCAGAGAGAGAAAAAAGCCAAGATTTCAGCTTTGAGTTTCCATCAGATACAAACAAGGGAGCATAATTTTTCATATTTTAAATTACGAAAAATCACTGAACATTACCCTCTTAAAATGAAATTGGCCTCAAAGAATTATTCTCTCTATTGAATAAGGCAAACAAAACCAATCAGAAATGCATGCACTTGAAAACTGCAAAAGGACATTCATTTAATTTGGCCATTCATTCTCTTTAAATGAGAGTCAGTTACCAAGTGTGAAACATGCTCTATACACAGGAAATGTAATCAAGAGCTGAATAAAATTAGTCCATGAAATGAACCTAAGAAATTCATTTTTTTGATATAACTTTATTTGGATGATAGTTTGCCAAATAGAGTTTCACATCTTTCATGCTAAAATTAGAGCATATAAAAATCCATCTTAGCAAATGTTAACTTCATATTTTAGACCCCCCGAAGAGGATATTTATAGCATATGTAACACTGGAGTTGAGGTAGTTTTCTGAAGCCTTGGACAGACCTTTTGTAGGGCAACAATAAACCAAAGTCAAAGTGCCAAAACTTAACTACTCGCTGTCACTCTATATCACATAGGAATTTGTTCCTGATTTAATTGTGGTCCTTCTGAGAAATCTGAACCAACTCCACACCCCATAATATTGTGTGTACGGGGAACAGACTCAGTTGATTCTGGCCACTAACATGTTTCAATAAATGGGCTCACTCTCTCGCTCTCTCTCTTTTTTTTTAATTTATTGGAGGGGGGGCAGTGGGAGAGGGAGAGAGAATCCCAAGCAGGCTCCACACCCAGCACAGAGCCCAATGCTGGGGGTTCAGTCTCACAACCCTGAGATTATGACCTGAACCAAAATCAAGAGGCGGACGCTTAACCGACTGAGCCACTCAGGTGCCCCAACGAGCTCTCTCTTAATACCCAATGTCGACCTTTTACAGAACTGACTCAGCATAAAAGAAGCTAAGCTAACTAATACAACCCCTTCAGTTTTTGTTTCCACACATACACAGAAGTTTATTGATATGAAAAGAAAAAAATATCAGTATATTCAATAAGTTACAAAATAACTTTATCCACATCCCCTACTCTGTGCAGGAGATTTCAATATACAGGCCCAAGAAAGGTAAAACTACAAGACATATAGCTTACATTAAGAGTTAAGGGTCCATGTAAATCTTTCAAATTAAAAGTAATTCAGCTATGATGAAAAGAGTTCTGGTGAATGGTTGTACCCAACAATGTGAAGGCATTTAATTTACTTAACACTACTGAACTGTACACTTGAATAACTAACATGGTAAATTTTAACCTATATGTATTTTACCACAATTTTTTTAAAGAAGTAAATCAGTACACTAACAATGAACAATACAAAATGAAATTTAAAAAACAATTTAATGTATAATAGCAACAAAAAGAATAAAATATTTAGGAATAAGTTAAAAGAAGACAAGCAAGACTTGTACACTGAAAACTACAAAATATTGTTTAAAGAAATTAAAAACGACCTAAATAAATGGAAGGACCTCTTATGTTCAAGAACTGGAAGACTTAATATTTAAAACTATTCCCCAAACTGATAAAAAAAAAATGCAGCGAAATCCCTATAAAAATTCCAGCTGGCTTTTTTGTAGAACTTGACAAGCTAATCCTAAAATTCATATGGAAATTCAAGGAACCCACAACAGCCAAAACAATCTTGAAAACGAATACAGCTGGAAGACTCACACCTGTAATCAAGACAGTGTGGAACTGGCATAAGGATAAACATAGATCAAATGAAAAGAATTGTGAGTCTAAAAATAAATGCATACATTTGTGGCCATTTGGTTTTCAGTAAGGTACCAAGACAATTCAATGAGAGAAGAATAATCATTTCAACAAATGGTGCTGAGGTAACTGGATAGTCACATGCAAAAGAATGAAGGTCTTGGACCCCTCCCTCACACCATATATAAAAAAAATAACTCAAAACAGAACAAAGACCTAAATGTAAGAGCTAAAATCATAAAACTGTTCAAAGAAAGCACTGTGCAAATACTCATGACCTTGAATTTGGCAAGATATGACACCTAAAACATAAGTAACCAAAGAAAAAGGAGGAAAACTGGACATAATCAAGTGAAAAGACAGCCCACAGAAAGGGAGAAAATATTTATAAATCATATATCTATTAAGGGTCTAGTATCCAGAATATATTTATTCTTTCAATTTAATAACAACAACAAAAAAGACAAGTAACCAATTAAAAAATGGGCAAAGGATTGAATAGATGCTTCTCCAAAAAGATAAACAAATGGCCTGTAAACACATGAAAAGATGCTCAGCATCATGAGCCATCAATAAAATGCAAAACAAAATCACAATGAGATACCACATTAGAAAGACAGACAATAGAGGCACCTGGGTGGTTCAGCTGGTTAAGCGCTTGACTTTTGATTTCAGCTCAGGTCATGATCTCAGGATCATGACATCAGGGTTGTGAGATCAAGCCCTGCATTGGGCTCCGTGCTGGGCATGGTGCCTACTTAAGATTCTCTCCCTCCATCTCCCTCTGCCCCTCCCCCTGCCTGTGTGCACTCATGCTCTCTCTCAAAAAATTAAATAAATAATTTAAAAATACAGACAGACAATAACAAGAGCTGACAAGAATGTCGAGAAATTGGAACACCCATATATTGCTGGTGGAAATGTGAAATAGTAGTCACCTTAAAAAACAATTTATCAGTTCCTCAAGAAGTTAAATGTACAGTTACCACGTGATCCAGCAATTCCAGTCCTAAGATAAATACCTGTTATGGGCTGAATTGTAACCCTTCAACATTAATCTATTGAACCCCTAGCCCCCAGTATCTCAGACCATGAACCTATTTGGAGACAGAGCTTTTAAAAAAATGATTAAAATGAAATGAGGTTATTAGGGGAGACTGTGATGCAAGATGACTGGTGTCCTTATGAAAGAGGAAATTTGGACCCACAAAGAGAAACTGGGGCTGTACACACACAGAGGAAAGACCATGTGAGAACACAAGAAAAAGGCCAACTGCAACCAAAGGAGAGAGGCCTTAGAAGTCACCAAACCTACTGACACCCTAATCTTGACCTTCCAACCACCATAACTAAGACAATGAATTATTGTCGTTTAAGTCACCCAATCTATGGCTCTTTTGTTACTGCAGCCCTAACAAATTAACACAATACCCAAAAGATAATAAAACCTACATTCACACAAAACTTGCACACAAATGTTCACAGCTGCATTATTCAAAGTAGCCAAACATGGAAGCAACACAAATGTCCATAACCTGATGAATGGATAAACACAATTTGGTATATCCTTATAATGGAGTATTATTCAGCCATAAAAAGGTATAACATCATGAACCCTGAAAATACTATGCTAAATGAAAGAAGCTAGATACTAAAGGCCACATATTGTATGAGTCCATTTTTATGAAATATCCAGAATAAGCAAATCTATAGACAGAAAATAGATTAGTGGTGGCCAAGGGCTGGGAGAGGGTTTCAGAAAAGAGGAGAGGTCAGTAATTGGGACCACTTTGATGGAGACACCTCCATCAAAGATGATGGAAATGTTTTGGAATTACGTAGTGGTGATGGTTGTACAACTCTGAATAATACTAAAAACCTCTTTTTTCTATGTGAAATACATATGTCTCAATTTAAAAGACAAAAATATGCCTGATACATAGTGGGGGGAAAAAGACTATCTGATTCTTACTCTTTAAAATGTTTATATGCATAAAAAAGGTCTAAAAGGCCAAAATCCACAATGTTTTTGGTGACAGAATTAACGATCATGTCTCTTTAAAAAGCTTAAAAAAAAAAAAGTAAACCAGAGATCCTTGAAATCTGAACAAGATGGATCACTGATTTTTTTCTGGGTTGTGTATAAACCAGTCCACCACAACTAGCTTAGAAAAAGCTTGATTTGAATGAAATCAGAATACAAATTGTATGGTAACTTCAAAGAACCATACTATTAGGTAACACTGTACCATTTTCACGGAGGTGAAAGTCCCAAAGGGAGGAAGGTGAGCGCTGCTGACAACTGAGACACATTATGTTAAATAATTCGGGTTTGGACATGTGACGTGTGTGTGTGTGTGTGTGTGTGTGTGTGTGTGTCTCATGCACCTACGGTCAGAGAGGGGTTTCCTTTGGTGAAGCCACTCCACGTGTGGGCACCCTACCTGCCAGGCCACAGAGGTGGTTCTGGAACGGGCATATGGACCCCGTCAAGCCAGTCTTTCCCGGGAGCTGTGCTGCTGGGGCTCTCAGGAAAGAGAGCCATGTCTCCTGGACAGTTAAGCTGAGACTGCAGAAGCTGAAAGCTGCTGCTGCCAAAATCCTTGGCAGGGAGCATGAAGCAAACTGGAGCGGAGAGCCAATCCAGAGAAAGACAGGACGAGAGTTGGAGAGAGTAAGACAGAGCCCAAACAACAATGGGCAAAGCCCAGGATCTCGCCTGCTCCGAGGCCTGCTATGTCCTAGGCTCATCATGTGAGCCAATACGTCCTCTTCGACATAAACAGATTTCCAGGGCTCCAATGAAACGTGCCTGATAAAGAAGTGCCTTACTCCAAATATACGAATAACCTGCAAACCCATTATTGACTCATGTGAATCTTCGTGGAATAGGCATGGGGGGTAGATGGAGACAGGGAGAGACATTAGGACGACAAAAGAGAAATGGGCTATATTAAAAAAGGCTTATATACAAGTTCAAAAGCAGAGTTACTTCCAGAGGGTATCTTAATTTTTGGAGTCACACTGACTGGGTTTGAATCCTGACTTGGCCACTCATCACTGTGAGGTCAAGTTATTTCACCTCCTTCATACCTGATTTTCTCGTCCGGAAAATGAGGAGGGTAACAGCATCTACCGTACAGGAGAGGCTTTTGTGAGGACTGACTGAGGTAGAGCAGGGTTTCACAGGGGACTAGCACTCGATGCAAACACCATTTATTGTTGGTATTGTTACGATAAGAACCCCGAAGTTAAACATCTACCTTTAAAATAATACATTTACAATAATTTAACAGTCATTCTTTAGGAAAGGGATGTAAAACAAGAATCTGATGTATCTATTCAGTGGAACGTTAATACAGCCACAAAAGGAGTGAAGTCCTGTTATGTGCTGTGAGCTGGACGAACACAGCAACATGTGAAAGAAGACACAGCATGGGTCACATATGGCAGGATGCCATGTACAGAACACACACAGAACACACAGACCCACGGAGACAGAAAGCAGATCCCTGATCGTCAGGGCAAGTGGGGAGAGGGCTTCTTTCCAGTGTGATAGAAACATTCCAGATAGGGGTGATTACTGCAAAACATAATGAATACACCCCAAACCACTGGCATATACACCTTAACCTGGTGGGTCTTCAGGGCACTGTATCTCAATTTAAGAAAAAGAAACTGAGTTTCTCTTTAAAAAGTCTGTATTATCACCTATGGAATTCCATTGTGCCAAGCATCACTCATGTTAAGCAGAGATTAGTGAACTGTGCCAGTCCTGTTAACAGGGAATGAAAGGCTACAGAAAGTGTGGCTTCTTTCTGAGAAACGTAGCTGATTCTATTAGACACCCTAAAGTTGACCTGGAAATCTAAAAAAAATAAAAAATAAATTATAAAAGCTGTTCTTCTTGTTGTGACTTTTTACACTTCAAAATCTGTCCACCTTGTTTTTAGAGAGAAAGCACATGTAATTTCATAGGTTCTCTCCAACAAATACTGGAATATTGGCCAAACAGACCCTATCAGATTAAATAAAAAGAAACACAGTACCTGCCTCCTTCAATATATTCAAGAACCGGTAAAAGATACTAACAACACAGTGTTTTAGAGTCTCACCACGATCTTGTGGAATTCAAACAACTATAGAAAGTAGAAAGACTACTCCAAGTTTATAGGATCCCAGAGACTGTGGATGGACACATATGCTACCAAATTACCACCTAAAGGGAGCCACAACCTGTGCTCCTCCAGCACTCTCATCGCTATTTGTCCCAACACGTCAGATGCCATTTAATTCTGACCCTCTCCCACAGACTCCATCTGTTTGCTAATCCTCTGCTTTAAGACCTGTCTGTTCCCTGGTTGCACTCCCTTGACCTCAGGCTATATCCAGTGAAAGACAATATGCACATCATCTGGTAAAATATATGTAAATAAATTACAATGAATAAAATGTGTTAAAATAAAATATTTTAAAAGAATGAGAACAAATAAAATGAATTAAAATTAATTAATTAAATATTAAAATAAATGCATTAAAATATCATGATGAAACAAAATCCTGGAATTTATCTTTGAAAAATTTCAAAGAGTTATCTTTGAAAAATAAGTGTATAAGAAGAAATTTCACTCAGTAAGAATTTATCTCTAAATTACAAGCCCAAGTCAATGAGACACATTCACTGAAAAAATTTAGGAAGCACATCAAGCAAAAAAAAAAAAAAAAAAAAAGAAATCCACCGCCTTCCTGTTTGAAATATGGAAGATTACAAGGGGAGTTTATATGAATAAAAAGGTGGCTTCTAACCAATTACTACTTCTGAACATTAAAGGATTGTAATAGGTAATAAACAATTAATAAGAGAAAAACATTAAACAGAAACAGGAGACAATGAATAAGAATAAATATCATACTTTATAAACCTACCTAAAATCAATATCCAATAAAAGGCTTTTAATGTTAGACTTCTTTTCACCTGATGCTTTCAATCTGATCAGCTCATGCAACCTAAAACAATTAATGAAAGCAAACTTAATAAGGAATTACAAATGTCACAGATAATAAGCAAATAAACCAAAACAACCCCACCAATGTTCTCCTGGTATTTCTAATATTTCAATGAAACACTGAAGAGAATTTGGCAGATATAACCAAGGTTTCAGTTTTTCAAATATTTTTTTAAAAGGCAGAACTTATTTGAAAAGGAGAAGTCTAAAATTATAAGCAATTAAATAATCAAATCAGAAGGAATCTTCTATCATATATCAGAAATCTATAAAGATTTCTCTCAAATGTAATATAGATTACAAACTCCTCAAGAGAGGGACCGTGCTTTATACTTCTCTTGTATATTTAAAACTGCAATGCTATGTCCCAGAACATAGTAAATAACTACTTGGTAATTTTTTCTTACAGTTTAAATAGTGGGCATAGTAGAAGTTTTTTAAAAAATCATACAACATACCTTGGTGTTCCAACACATAGTACTCTTGTAAATCCAAGGGTAGAAAGTAGGTCTACCAAGAACTGACAGCTCCGATCAGCAAACAAATACTGGGCATTTGTCTTCTTGTTTTCCAATGGATAAAGAAGCTGACTGGGCCTTTTCAACTGGGTGATAGAAATATCGCCTACTACTCGATGCTCCTGATGCTTCTCCCAATCGTCTGGCAACAGCAATTGCTGACATCGTTGACAAAACTTTCTCTGAGACAGGGACAACTCAATAAACTTCAAGTACCTTCAAGACATATTTAAACACAAAGTAATATATTTTAAGTTTGTGGTTTTAAAGACAATTTCTGTTTGCTATTTTTAGTATGCACAAAGTACTATTACTTCCTTAAGAGTACCGTGTAAAGAAGCCAAGGTAAAAAAAAAAATCTGTGGAATGTTGGCTAGAATTTATGTCCAGCTGCATACCTACAAAGTAGAGAAGAATCAGCAATTTTATAAGAACTGAGATGCTCCAATTCAGTCACTGAATGAGGATCAATATCCATTTAAAATGTGAACATAATATACTACTCAAACAACTTAGTAGTAATGGAGACTACTATCAACGTTTAAATTTATTGACAAATCCATGTGTTCTAACTTTGAAGTGTTAAATAGTCTGGCTCAATATGACAGTCATTTTAAAATGAGAAATTAAGGTCATTCTTCAATTTTTTTATGGCATACTTAGCAAGAAAAATTACCTCCTAAAAGAAAAAATGTTCCTACAAAGTTCCTCTATTCTTAGCAGCACTGAGGAAAGCAGTTCTGAAAAAGCTCATCCCCAAAAAAGCTAGACAATATCCAAAGCCTTAAAAAAAAACCATACTGATAGCCCATTTGATCTCTTTCAAGTCATACTCCTATCTGATTTCAAAGTTACCACTTTGGTTTTTTTTTTCCTTTCATTTTATTAGAGATAATTAGAAAGAGAAAATAATCACGGTACGTTATTTTAAAACTGCTGTTACCAGATATGAAATCAGAGTAAGAAAACCAAAGAAAAACAAACAACAGTATCAAGGCCTACAGCAGGTCGGCAATGTCTAAATCTAAGCATGTCAAATAGTGCACTAAAGGATTCTTAACAGTTTAAGAAGAGTCACAGAGTTTCAACTGAACTAACCTCTAGAACTGCACTGTAAAAACTGTGAACTTCACATAGAATCAAAGTGGGTTTTAAAACTTTTTATATCTAAGCAGAGCTTCACTTCAAAGCACCCAAGGCAGTGACAAATCGATATTCTGAATGGCTACAGCAAGAAATAAGCTTATCGTGCCAGTAATTTAAATGTTTCTATTTCCATGACAACTGTGCTTCTGACAGCTTTATCTATGGTTGGGAAGAAAAGGGAAAGCGGTATCAGGGGAAATTTTATAGTAATTCAAAGTAAGAATGTCAGTAGAGAAAAGGGCCCCTAAGATAAGAAATGCAGTAGAAAGAATCAGGACATTCTCCAGCAACAGAAACACTGAATTTACCTTTCGTTATTAAATGCTAAGGATCGAAGACCTCCATATCCAGCCATGATAGAGTCGCAGAGACTAGGTTTACCATCCTGGCCCTCAAAATTTTTTTAAACAGACAAAGTAACATAATGGACAACCGGAAGCTCAAGAGTGAGTAAGAGAAGGGACCAGATGAGGGAGTCTACACCCGCCCAGTTTACTGCCTGTGGCTATAGCCAGTACGGGCACGGAGAACCCAAACACGGCTCAACAAACTGAAGAGGCAGAGCTGAGAAGTGGTGGAGGCGAGGGCGGCTAGAATTCACAGGGCCGAGTACTAGAGAATACATATATGGAGCCCACAGGCCAGAAAGCAGGACACTGAGAGAGAGAGCTGCACGGTTTGCCGTGATTCCCCTCAATATATTTAATTAATTTATTCGTTAAGGGTCTGCCTTCAGCCCAGGTCATGATCCCAGGGTCCTGGGCTCGAGCCCCGCATCGGGCTCCCTGCTCAGCGGGAAGCCTGCTTCTCCCTCTCCCACTCCCCCTGCTGTGTTCCCTGTCTCTCTGTGTCTCTGTCAAATAAATAAATAAAATCTTTAAAAAAAAAAAAAGAAATTATCCAAAATGAAACACCAAGGGACCAAAATACATGAAAATGGACCCCCAAGGAAGGTGGGCAGAAAAAATTTTGAAAAAATTATGGCTGAAATTTTCCAAAAATTACATCAAAAGATTCAAGAACTCAGAGAACCTCAAGTACAAGAAACACAAAGAAAACTATAAGATGCATCATAATAAAATTATTCAAAATCAGTGAAATAGAGAAAATCTTAAAATCAGAAGAAAAAAGACATGTACAGAGGAACAAAGATTAAGAGAATAATATCAGATTTCTCACTGGAAACAATGCCAAAAAGAAGACAGGGAGGCAATACCAATTCTACACAAATTCTTCCAGTACATTGAAGAGGAAAGTACAGTTCCCAATTCCTTTCATTAAGCCAGCATGACCCCAATACCAAACCAGAATAAAAATGTTATCAGAAAACCAAAGAACAATAAGCCTCATAAACACAAACTCAAAAATTAATGGAATTTTAGCAAGTCAAAGCCACAATATATAAAGAAGGTAAAAGAGCATGACTAAGTGCAGGTTAGCCCAGGAATGCCAGGCTGCTTCAATGTTTGCATTTGATCAATGCAATTCACCATATTAACAATCTTAAAAATATATATATATATCATCTCATTAAATGCAGGAAAAAAGCACTTTCTCATTTATGAGAAAGATTCTCAGAAAACTAGGAACAGAAGAGAACTTGCACAACCTGATAAAGGGCATCTGAGAAAAACCTGTAGCTTAACACCATACTGGTAAAAGACTGAACACATTCCTCCCAAGACTGGGACACAAGCAAAGATGTCTACTTTTACCATTACTATTCAACACTGACTGGGATTCCAACCACTTTGATAAGACAAGAAAAAGAAATAAAAGGCACAGACTGGAAAGGAAACATAAAAATTTTATTCACAGATAACATGATCATATATGTAGAAAGTCCTGAGGAAATATTTTTTAAAAAGTTGATGGGGCACCTGGGTGGCTCAGTCGTTAAGCGTCTGCCTTCGGCTCAGGTCATGGGCCCAAGGTCCTGGGATCGAGCCCCACATCGGGCTCCCTGCTCGGCGGGAAGCCTGCTTCTCCTTTTCCCACTCCCCCTGCTTGTGTTCCCTCTCTCACTATGTCTCTCTCTCTGTCAAATAAATAAATAAATAAATAAATAAGTTGCTACAACTAGTAAATAAACTCAAAGATTAATATACAAAAGCAATTGTACTGCTTATAGACTGGCTAATGTGCACATGATCAATCTTAAAATCACACAAAGTGAATAACCAGACGTTATCTATGTAATACAAAAGGAAATATACACCATTACTTACAAAAGAGTATTGCCCCCTAAAACTGAACTTGAGTCTGATAATAGCACTACAAGAAATATAGGGATAGAATAAATGTTAAACATTACAGCATGCAATCAACAAATCCAGAATGTGAGGAATTCTATAGGACAAATTACTCTGTTTCTTCAACAAATGATTAAAGATATCAACAAATTACAACGCACAAACCCTGTCTGGATCCTGATTTGTAAAACCAATTATAAAATGGCACTTACAGGCTAATCCGAGAAATGTGAATATTAACTGCATCTTAGGTAACATTAAAGAATTGTTTCATTTTTTAGGTATTTTAACAGTATTGTGATTATGTTTTTTTAAAAGGCCTTATTTCTTGGGGCGCCTGGGTGGCTCAGTCGTTAAGCGTCTGCCTTCAGCTCAGGTCATGATCCCGGAGTCCTGGGATCGAGCCCCACATCGGGCTCCCTGCTCCGCGGGAAGCCTGCTTCTCCCTCTCCCACTCCCCCTGCTTGTGTTCCCTCTCTCGCTGTGTCTCTCTCTAATAAATAAACAAAATCTAAAAAAAAAAATAAAAATAAAAAAAAAAATAAAGGCCTTATTTCTTGAGATACATAGAAACATATTTATGGGTACAATTATATAATATCTACACTGAAGGTCAGGGTAGAAGGTATAAGTGAAATAAAATTAGCCACATACTGATGACTGATGAAGCTTTGTGTGGATGTGGGAGATTCTTTATACTGTTCTCTCTGCTTTTGTATATGCCTGAAATTTTCCATAATAAAACATTTTTAAAAGTGCTTTAAAGAAAAAGCAAGAATTTGCTTGCTTTGAAAACAAGCAAAGAGGACCCCAGAAAATACTAAGCAAGAAATGGGTTGTACTCAGCCCTAAATCACATGCGACTTGGTTTTTCATTCTTTGGCAAGAGGAATATAATCTGGGAAATTTCTCAGACCTGAAGGACACGAGTTTCCAGTTTGAAAGGATTTACCTAATACCCAGCAAAATAGGATATAACAGACTCACATCAAGATAGGTAATCATGAAATGTCACACCTGTAGGAATAGTAAGATTCTAAGAAGAAAAAAAAAGACAAAGGGATCAAATGGCTCACAGATCATTTATGAGATCAGGAATGAACTTTCTGAACTTGAACTTCTCAACAGCTATAATGAAGACAAAAGTAAATGGAACATTGCCTTCCAAATCCTGAGGGAAAAATACTTCCAACCTAGAATTCCATCATCTGCATAGGGATCAACCAAGTATCAGCATAGATAAAGGTATCTGCAGAAACGCAGATTTCAGAATTGTTGGGTGGTAAAACCAAATTTAACTCTAGAACAGTGTTCCTCACAGACTGGCCACGCACCAGTGCCAGCGGTCAACTGTTACCAGTTCCTGATGAGACAAAGACAGATATCAAGAGTCTACGTTTAGGGCGCCTGGGTGGCTCCGTTGGTTGAGCGACTGCCTTCAGCTCAGGTCATGATCCTGGAGTCCCGGGATCGAGTCCCGCATCGGGCTCCGTGCTCGGCGAGGAGCCTGCTTCTCCCTCTAACCCTCCCCCCTCTCATGTACTTTCTCGGTCTCTCAAATAGATAAATAAATCTTTAAAAAAAAAAAGAGTCTACGTTTAGAAATTTTTATACCAATTAGAGCACTTTTATGTCTGTTCAAACTAATAAAAAAATGTGAGCTTGTGGTCTGTATGTCTTCTCTTTTTTTCATTTTATTTTCTAGTAATTTATTTTCATTATATTTACAGAAGTATCTGATCCCAATGGGTAGAGAATAAAAACAAGAACAAAAAAAAAAAAAAAGAACAAAAAAATAAAAAAATAAAAACAAGAACA